TTTATTTCGGTTCCTTGAAGAATGTAGTTTTAGATTGCAATGAATTCTGTTTTAGGGAATTTGTTTCTATGATGTAAACGATATTAAGCTCATTATTTTGAGTTATATTTCGAAACAGTTCTTTTTTGTGGACAAATAGGTTTTTGTGGTGTTGAATTTGTTTTAAATATAAAACGTTTGTATCTGGGGATGATCTTAAATTAATTTTTCAATGGATAATCATTAAACAGGGTAACGAGTGTTTAAAACTTTCTGTATATATTACGACGCTTGAGAATGTCTCCAACCCAACCTGTATTGGGTTGGGTTGGGTTTGGTTGAGTTGAGTTGGGTTGGGTTTACTGGGCCCTACGCTGTGGAATATATTTTATGATGAAATACTGCGAATGGATATGGAGCGTGGAGTGAGATTAGTGGCATATGCTGATGATCTTGCCCTCATCGTATGCGCCAAAACCAAGGAAGAGGTAGAGGACAAGGCTTGTTACGCGAGCGAGAGAGTCATAAGAAGACTAAACGAGATGGGAATCAGGGTGGCGGCCAAAAATACCGAAGTGGTAGTCCTACAAGGAAGACGAAAGGTGCCAAAAATGAAGGTTGTCATTGAAGGCCAAACGGTGGAAAGTTCACCAATGGTAAAATACCTGGGGGTTTATCTCGATAAGGACATGAGAATGACGGCGCATGTCAGGGAGATCACGGAAAAGGCTCTGAAGATGGCTAATATACTTAGGAAGATCATGCCAAATGTGGGGGGACCAATAAGCAGCAAAAGGAAACTGCTAGCTACTACGGTTACGTCGGTCTTGTTGTATGCGGCGCCCACCTGGAGTAGAGCATTAAAATATAAGTGCTACAGGAAGATGCTTAACGCAATAAACAGGAAGTTAGCGATAAGCATAACATCAGCGTATTGCACGGTCTCTGCAGAAAGTGTCGAGGTGATAGCTGGTATGCCACCGATGGACCTGCTGGTGGAGGAAAGAGTCTCCCTACACGAAAGAGGGAGAGAGAGCAAGAGCGAGATAAGGGAAGATCTGATGAGGATATGGCAGAATAGGTGGGATCAGTATGATGGATGGGCCAGGACCATTATTCCGAAGGTAAAACCATGGATGGAGAGAAAGTGGGGGGAAGTTGACTACTTCCTAACACAGGTGATAACGGGCCACGGTATTTTCGGAACATATTTATGTAAGATCGGGAAAGCATCATCTGCACAGTGTTGGTTCTGTGGGTTAGTGGATACACCAGAACATACGGTGTTCCACTGCCCGAAGTTTGCGGCGGACAGGACGAGGTGTTTTGAAGTGTGTCGGGAAACGGTGACCAAAGATAACATCGCGACACTAATGTTAGCCGATGGCGAGACCTGGGAGAAAATCGGAGGGTACCTTAGAAACATTATGAAGACCAAACAGGAGGAGGAGTGGAGAAGAGAACGGGCAGAGAGGGAGCCGGATGGCAGCGGGATGGAGGTGCATGGCGAGGAGGATCGAGGAAGAGAAGAGGGGGATGTTTCCCCCTCGACCGGATCGCATAACCAATATCACGAGGAGAAGTCCAGGGGAAGAGGAGGAGAGGGGGATGTTTCCCCCTAGGCCTGGTAAGTTTATGTTGTTATGAATTTCAAAAAGTTGAAGATTTGTTTTTTTTACCATTTCATACCATAACCATCGAAATGGTGGGGACGAGGGCCGACATGAAATTGATGGATTGGTGTAACAGAGAGATGTAGAGATGAGAGCGAAATTGTAGAAAGTGAAGACGACTCCGAAGAAATGCCCGGAAGGGCGGTTCCGGAGAGAGAAGACGAGGAAAGGGGTTTTTAGTGGGTCGGAGTCTTCGACCCCAACCCCACATTATCTGGCCGCCCAACACCCCAGGGCAGATGTCTGTTTAGCAGATTTTCCCCGACCTCGTTAAAAAAAAGGGTTGGGTTGGGTTGAGTTGGGTTGATGAATTAGAAAACAACATATGGGGAACGGCGTATTACGAGAGAACTATAAAGAGAAAGATAACGATCAAAGCGGAGATCAACAACCAGAAATGTTCACCATAGAAGAAGTTAATAACAGTCTGAGCATGAAATTATCAAGATCTGTGCGAAAGCCAACCCCACTATATTTTTAAATAAGTATAATGAGTGTTGGAAAAAAGGGATATTCCCAAAAATATGGAAAAGGGAAACCTTGGTGCTGATAGAGAAGCCCAGAAAACAAGAAACTGAACAGTCTTACAGACCCCTCTGTCTCCTTAGTGCGATAGGAAAGATACAGGAGAAACTAATTAACGAAGAGATGTTGGCTGAAATAAAGGAGAAAAACCTTCTGAGTCGATGCGATAATGTCAATTATCAAAAGCGTAAAGGAAATGAAAATAGTATAGGGTTTTATATAATGATCCTTTTAGATATCAAAAATGTGTTCAACTCTGCACCTTGAACTGAGATAAACAGGGCATTGGAGAAGAAAGGTTTCTCAATTGAAATTAGAAGGATAATAAGATCTTATTTATCGAATAGACAAATAGTTCTACCAGGAGAAAAAATGACGTGCGGAGGAACACTCTGGAACATTTTCTACGACCAGGTGGTGGAAAGCAAGGTGGAAGAAGGAGTCTCGCTAGTAGCCTATGCAGATGATTGGGCAGTAGTGGTGAGACCAAAATCTGAAGAGACGATGAGGCGATAAAGCTGGGTAAGAGTGGCAGAGAATATGAGAGAACTGGGTATACAACTAGCGGAAGAGAAGACTGAGATAGTGATTTTGGAGGGAAGAAGAAAGCTGAAGACAATACAGTTTAGAGTAGGCCAACAAATCATTAAAAGCTCAGAATCGGTAAAGTACTGAGGAGTCCATTTAGACAGAGATCTACGCATGACGGCGCATATCAAAAAAGTTTCAAAGAAAGCCGGAAAAATGTATAATAATTTAACGCGTTTGATGCCTAGAAAAGTAATCTTCGTGAAAAATCGTTTAAAATGAGTCCAAACATGATACGTTTAATTCCAATATTTCTTGAGATATAAGCAACTTCCGGTTTGAAATGTCAATGTCATTTTGACATATTCTTAATTTTTATAAAATGTCTTAATATTTGTCACAAAAACAAAAGTATAATAAAAAAAATCAAAAATTAAGGTTGGTATTAATATTAAAAAATTAAATTGCTAACTTCATTGCTGCTAACTTCGAGTGTAATTTTTTTTTAATTCTAACTTTTTTGTTTTTTTTGAGATAAATGCATCATGTTTGGATTCATTTTAAAGGTTTTTTTAATAAAGAATACATTATGAAAGTACACCATGAAGTTGTCCATTTGTCTATTATATGATAATTAACTTCAGGTTTTAAATGTCAACCTCAATTTAAACATATTTATAATCTTCATTAAAAATCCTTTAAAATAAGTACAAACACGACATATTTATCTTTAATATTAATGAAGTTATGGTCAACTTCCGGTTAAGAATGTCAACGTCAATTTTGACATATTTCTAATTGTCGTGAAAAGTCGTTTAAAATGAGTCCAAACATGATACGTTTAACTCCAATATTACTCGAGATATAAGCAACTTCCGGTTTGAAATGTCAATGTCATTTTGACATATTCTTAATTTTTATAAACTGTCTTAATATTTGTCACAAAAACAAAAGTATAATAAAAAAATCAAAAATTAAGGTTGGTATTAATATTTAAAAATTAAATTGCTAACTTCATTGTTGTTGACTTCGGGTGTAATTTTCTTTTTATTCTAACTTTTTTGTTTTTTTTTGAGATAAATGCATCATGTTTGGATTCATTTTAAAGGTTTTTTTAATAAAGAATACATTATGAAAGTACACCATGAAGTTGTCCATTTGTCTATTATATGATAACTAACTTCAGGTTTTAAAAGTCAACCTCAATTTAAACATATTTATAATCTTCATTAAAAATCTATTAAAATGAGTATAAACACGACATATTTATCTTCAATATTAATAAAGTTATGGTCAACTTCCGGTTAAAAATGTCAACGTCAATTTTGACATATTTGTAATTGTCGTGAAAAATCGTTTAAAATGAGTCCAAACATGATATATTTAATTCCAATATTACTCGAGATATAAGCAACTTCCGGTTTGAAATGTCAATGTCATTTTGACATATTCTTAATTTTTATAAAATGTCTTAATATTTGTCACAAAAATACAATAAAAAAAATTAAAAATTGAGCTTGGTATTAATATTTAAAAATTAAATTGTTGCTAACTTCGGGTTTAATGTTTTTTATTCTAACTTTTTTGTTTTTTGAGGTAAGTGCGTCATCTTTGGACTCATTTTAAACGCTTTTTAATAAAGATGACAAATATGTCAAAATTGACGTTGACGTTTCAAACCGGAAGTGATTGTATCTCCATTAATATTAAAGTTAAATATGTCGAGTTTGGACTCATTTTACAGGTTATTTTATGAAGATTACGAATATAATAATAAAATTAAAGTTAACATTGACAACTGAAAGTTTTTTTCACGACTAAACCCGAATACCACTAGAACTAACACTATTTAGTCCCACGTCTCTCAAGACGAAGTCTTTGAAGATGGCTAAGGGCCGAAACTAGTTAGACTTAAATTCTATATGAAATAAAAGAGATAGACTTATTCTGAGCCAAAATGAAGCCACTATTTCCACGATGACAACTGATGTGTTGGAAGGATTAATTGTGAGACTACAAATGTAATTAATTTGTCCAAATCTATATTTATATTATTGCAATGTCCACTTAAAGCTTAATATAGATTGTCCTAAGACCTGCACTAAAGTGAGATGGTAAAAATCGAAATCTAAGTAATAACTCAATTTTGATTAACATCATTGGAATCAACGTAATGTTTTGTTACTTTTGATGCTAATCAATTAACAAGATGACATAGATTAAGTTAGAAAATTAGTTAGTTAGAGCAATAATTTTCTAATTTTAACACCAATCAATCAATCAATCAAAACATACCCTTGCAGCTATTGATGTGGTTGGTTTCTCAAGCATATCCCACAACCATTTCTGATATTGCGAACACTTATCATCACCGAATTCCTCTTCGTCCCTTTGCCGAAGCGATTCCGCCTCCTTCCTCATCTCTTCGTGGACGTGTTCTTTCCTCTGATGATATTTGTGTTGGCAACAAGACTCCAAGTACAGTTCATCGACACCCCAATACTCTAAATCGTCACTAAACGCGAGCACGCACATTTCATCCACAAGATGCAACTTCCCAGTCCGATAAAAGTTCAGAATCGAACTGAACGATTTCGGGTGCCTATCGAAAAAGTATTCGTTGTCTATCAACGAATAATCATCGCAAAGTTCACTTAAAGCTTCGTGGGTGTTACAATCTCGTAACCTTCCTAATCTTGTGTGAGGAAGTCTGAAAAAAATTGATTAAATTTGAATAATAAGTAATTTTTTTTTAATTACTTACCGATCTAAAGTTCTCCAAAGCACTTCATGTTTAACCCCTCCAACGTTGATGCAAACTCTTCGATTAAGCGCTTTTGATCGCATTATCATGAACGGTTCGGGTGGTAACGAAGACATGGATCTCGAGTAAGGTCTTTGAAGTTGAAGGGGTAACGATGGTGGTAAAATTTGGGTGATTGGGGGTGATTGTTGTGGGTACCCTTGAGGTTGGTAACGAGGGTTTGAGGCATCCACCGTGGAATCCCATCGAACGGCGGTACCATCGCCGCTTTCCCTGCCTTCTCCGACAAGCGGAGTTGTCGGCCCCGGCATGGTACTAGCCATAGGAGTGGGACAAGTTACGATGGTACTCGGGGGTATGATCTTTAACCTTCATCCACCATTGCTACCTTCACAACTACTTCTTTGAACCATTCTTATCTAAAAATAGAAATTAAATTATAAGTACGAAGGCTTTCACGGCCAGTGTGAATTAAACTAAAATTAGAACTAAAACTAGAAACTGTCGGGTTTTGCCGTGCGGCTTTTAATAATAAGCATTTTATTGTTTTTGATATTTACAATTTCTTTTCCCTTAATACATTCTAATATATATTATTAGTATATTATTTTCACCCTCTACCCTCTTCCTCCATTTCCATACCCTCGGCTCCTCGGCCCAATCATCCCCTCATCCTTCCCTTTGTCTCCTTACCCCCACAACCATTCTCATCCATCGTTTCCCCTCTCCCCCCTCTCCTAAGATCTGCCCTCGGTCCAACTCCTCCTCCCTCAACTCACTGCACCCATTCAACATATGTTCCAACGTTTCCCATTCCTCCCTGCATAGCCTACACCACCTCTCCTCATCGGCCATCCAGTATCTGTTAGCTCTCTCCTCGTTTCCACAACGGAACCTAGCCACCAACTTCTTCCCTTCCTCATCTCCTTCCAATAACAAGTATCTAGGCAGCCCCTCCGTAATTATGTCCCTGTACCTTTCGTTATACCTCCCCTCTTTTATTTGTGTCCTTCTTTCCTGTCTCTGCACATCTCGGTCCCTATCTCTCAACTCCCTCCACATCTCCCTACCCACCCTTCGTCTACTATTTATCTCAGTTACCGAGTAGCCCGCTCGTCTATAATAGTTGTCTCTGTCTCCTTTCCCATATCTGATCTTTCCCTCTCTAATTTCCCTCCAACACTCCCCCAAGATCCCGCAGTTTGGCCTCCCTTCTATTCTTTCTTCATATTTCACTGCTCTCCTGCCCCCCTCCACTCTGACTTTATCCACCTTTACCTCTTCCCTCACTATATACCCCGGTGTTTCTCTCGCCACCCCAAGCACCCATCTCCAATATCTAGCCTGCACGTCCTCCAGCGGTCCCTGCTCCCTCCATCCCCATACCTCTGCCCCATACATCATCACACTGCTAACCAGACCTTCAAACATAATCTTCCTCGCTGCCACATTCCTTCCAAAGACTCTCTTCCCCCAACCCCATACTTGTCCCATCACCTTATTCGCCTTTTTTGCCATAGCTATCACATGCGACCCCTCCCTGTTGTCCTCCCTGAACACATACCCCAAGTAAGTAAACTCCCTAACCTCCTCGATCTCTTTTCCCTCCCATCTCCAGTTTTCTGTTCTTTGTCTTCCCCGCGTTCACTTCCAACCCCTTCCTCCTAAAATATCTTTCCAATGTCTTTATCATATCCTTCATCTCCACCGCCTCTCTCTCCACGACCACGATGTCATTCGCGTATGCTAACATATGCACCTTTCTACCTCCCACCACCAACCCTCCCATTTGTCCCTTCCCCAATCTATCCTCCAGGTCCGCCGTATACAGTGTAAACAGACTTGGGCTCAGCGGACATCCCTTCGTCGTCCAAAACACGTCGCTCAGCTTATCTCCCACTTTTATCCTAGCCATAGTCTCCATGTATATTTCCTTCACTCTCGCAATTAGGTGTTCTGTGATCCCCCTCCTCCCCATCTCCTCCCACAACTTTCTCCTGTCCACCTTATCAAAAGCCGCCTTCAAATCTATAAACAGGGCGTACAATTTCCCTCCCTTCTTATCCAGCTCTCTATCTGCCAGATGCTTCAACACGTACACGTTGTCGATTGCTCCCCTTCCCTTCCGAAAGCCTGCCTGCCCATCCGGCAAAATTCCACCCAACTCCATCTCCTCCTCCAGTCTTCCCAACAGTATCTTCGTGTATACCTTGTATGCCGAGTCTAGTAGGTTAATTCCTCTGTAGCTCGCAACCCTTCCCTTATTACCCTTTTTGTATACTGGGCAAATTACCCCCACTTTCCATCCCTCCGGAAACCCACCCCCTCTCCATACGCTATTCATCCCCTCCAACAACTTCACTCTCACCACCCTTGATGCTTCCAACCATGCCTCGTTCTGGATCCCATCTTCCCCTGGCGCCTTTCCCTTCTTCAATCCCCTAAGCACTGCTTCCATCTCCTCTTCTGCTATCTCCTCTCCCTCATCTCCCTCATAGCCTCCCAAACCCGTTAGCTTCGTTTCAACCCCTCCCAATAATCTCATAAAGTAACTCTTCCAATCTGTCATGTGTATTTCGCTGGTTATCCTCTCCCTACCCTTCTTTCTCTTTTTCAAATACCTCCAGATCTCCCCTTCCCTTGTTATCCTTCTAATCTCTGCCGCCTCCTTCTCCCTCAGTTCTGTTTTCTTTGAAGGTTTGAGAGTGTTGCCTCTCACACTACCTGGATAAGTTCTTCCAAACCATTGATCTCTTGTATCTTCTGTTGCCAAGTGTCGAGGTTTCTCCTGTAGAATGCTACCCCTTCTTCCGACCAGTCTGTCCTGATGAACTTGCTCCCCATTTCCGCTCGTCTTCTGCCGTCCACCCCCTTTACCTCCACCTCCAACGGTTGGTGATCCGACTCTACCGCTTCTCCCACTTTAAACCTTTCCACCCTCTCCCACATTTCCTGATCCACCAGTACATAATCAAGCACAGATGTCCCCCTCGCCCCGATATAAGTATACTCCCCTTCCTCTCCTTCCTCTTTAGTTCCATTCAGTATCTTCCATCCGTTCTCCTCGTCCCATCTCAGCATTTCTGTTCCTTCTCCATTCCGCACAGTATCCTTCGACCGCCGTCGTCCCTCCTCTCCCCATATCTCCACCCTTCCCCCCTCGTCGCCCACTCTAGCATTGAAATCCCCTCCCATTATTATATATTCCCCCGTCCCATCTCATTCCATTGCTTTCTCGTCTCTTTCATTGACTTGCTATACACAGTAACTATCTGCATCATCTCTCTCCCCCAGCTGATCTGCCTTTTTACCATTCCCTTCTGCCTCCATCTCCCATCCGTCTTACTCTCCTCCGTAATTCCTCTCGCTATTCCTGTTATAATACCCCCGCACGCTCTTCCTCTCTGCAAACACGCAATCCCATCTATACCCTTCTGGCAACTTTCCCTCAATCTTTGCCCACCCTCCTTCATCAACCCAGGTCTCCACCATACAAATCACCTCAAATCTCTTCAGATATTCCCAGAACTGCCCTCCCTTATTCGTAATCCCCGCTACATTCCAGAACACCATTTTCAACCCCTCGCTCTTCTCTGGCTTCTCCCCTCCCCCGTCTAGTTTTTTGATAAAATCCCTTGCTGCCCTCTCTTCATGTCGTCATAATTAATACTTCTCTTCACCAACTCCGCCGCTATCTGGTATTCCCCACAGTTTCTATCCCTCGTTTCGTGTCTGTCATCCTTCCCCCTGGCTTTGCAGTTTGCACATACCGCCTCTCTCTCCCTATTCCCACAGTTCTTAAACTCGTGGCCCTTTTCCGCACAATGCCCACATACCATTTCCGATTTGCAGAAACGTTGGAGATGTCCGAAACCCTGGCATCTGTAGCACCTCTTCACGTCTATGAAATCGTCAATTCTCAGTGACGACAACCCAATATATACCCTCCCAAACCTTGTAATCTCCCTTCTCACTCTCCCTGACACTTCCATAACATAATTTACCACCCCCTTTTCCCTTCTGCCTGTCTTGAACAATATTCTGGCCTCGTTCTTGAAGTCATGCCAACTTATCCCAACCCCTTGCTCAGTGTTTTTACCCCACAGCTGCTCCAATAATACCCCCTCGTTCATCTCTCTGTCCACATCATAAAAAAATTAAGTTGTGGTACTTCCAAATTTCGAAAAGTTAATGTGCCATAGGAAAGTGACCAAACGTTCTAAATCGAGTGTTCTATGATTTTTTGAACAAATATCCGCTGGAGCAGATTTTTCTAGAAAAATTCGAATAACTGGAGAACAGAGGAATCAAATTGCAAAAAGTAAACTTATTTATCTTATTTATCCTATGCTGAGCACTAGGGGATGTCGGGAACTTTGGACCGGTTTTAGGGGGATGGGCATTGTTAATAGTAAACAGCGTTCTATTCCGGACTTTTTAGCGAGTGTTGATGCTATTAACGACTACTTCCAAACTTCTCAAATAGTTGCTACGGGTGATATGGACACTATTAATTATTATAACTTAAACATAGTACCTGGTGTTACTGANACAGAGTGTTCCATTTAAAAAAATAAAGTAGGTGGCGACTTCCGGTATAAACGGAAGTGCTAGAAATCTGAAAATATTTTAGACGAAGAGAACGTAATTGATAATACTGTATAATTAGTATAATTAGTTATAATTAATTGATAATATTGTTGTAAACTTTATTCTTAACAATATTGCTCTTTTGTACTTTTGCTCTCAGATGCATAAATATCGAGAAAAATTCCGAAATGTGAAAATTTTATGAAATCGTGGATTTACATCTTGTTGTTGGTATAACATAGGATTCAGTACGTTTTAGAAAAAAGTTTTAGTATAAAAGTTGTTGTAAACTTTATTCTTAACAATATTGCTCTTTTGCACTCTTGCTCTCAGATGCATAAATATCGATAAAAATCCGAAAATGTGAAAATTAGATGAAATCGTGGTTTTACATCTTGTGTTGGTAGAGCATAGGATTCAGTACGTTTTAGAAAAAAAGTTTTAATATAAAAGTTGTAGAAAATATTATTGTTAACAATATTGCTCTTTTGCACTTTTGCTCTCAGATGTATGAATATTGATAAAAATCCGAAAATGTGAAAATTGGATGAAATCGTGGTTTTACATCTTGTGTTGGTAGAGCATAGGATTCAGTACGTTTTAGAAAAAAAGTTTTAGTATAAAAGTTGTAGAAAATGTTATTGTTAACAATATTGCTCCTTTACACCTATGCTCTCAGATGTATAAATATCGAGAAAAATTCAAAAAGGTGAAAATTAGATGAAATCGTGGATTTACATCTTGTTGTTGGTAGTGGACGGGATTCAGTACACTTTAAAAAAAAAGTTTTAGTATAAAAGTTGTAGAAAATGTTATTGCTAACAATATT